ACCACACCACACCACACCACACCACACCACTGCTAACATAAAATCATTGGTTTATTATTTGTCAATGTTGGCATTCATATTTATGTACTAAATTCATGCATTCTTTGGAGAATGTTTATATGTGGTGAGACACAGTTTAGTGTCAGTTTTATGTTAGTCTTTGGCATGATTTGAGTAGTCTTGAACTGCTTCCCGGTGTTCTGAAATGGTTACAGTGCATTGCTCACTTGGGACAGGAAAGCCAGCAGACCTCTGTCATTACGCATAGCACCGCCCCGAGGACGAGTGTCCACTCAGGAGAGTTATATGCAGGCTCAACCCCTCCCACTTTGAGTTTACATTAGAATATAAAATTTTTCATACTTATTTACGTTTTCATACTTATTTAAGTTTTAAAATTTCAAGTTTATGTCTGAAAATTTACGTGGAGTGTAATGCTTGGTACGTTTGTAGAGACAGTTCTTTATCATTTGTAGCGTTGTGATCCTGCTCTTTATCCCTTAATCTTCAGGCTCAGAAGTCTGCTGTAGTTTATTGCTCTTTTGACAAAGCTAATGCTTCATTTCATTGCTAGCAAGTTCCATTTGTCTTTTGTTTTCTGTTTTACTTATTTCTGTTTTTATTTTTATTTATTTTTTTCCTTTTACTTCTGTTAGGCTTTTAAACAAGCCTTCTTTATCCAGGCTCCCTGAGTTGAATTTTAGCTCAGGCCACTCATTCCAATCCTCTCTGATTTCTAATACACATTTAAAGTTACAGCATTACTTCAGAGTACTGCTACCCTGCATCATTTAGATGTGTACTGCTCACAGACTCCATTTCCGAATAAGTTGTAACTTCAGGTTTAAATTTCCATGTAACCCAAGGATGATTTAGAAAACCATTCAAAATCTCCAAATGGGTAATTTTGTGATGTTAGAAGCATCTAAATTTATAGAGTTGTTTTCTTTATGTACCTTTAACAATTCTATTCTCTTTGGAATTTATTTAGATTTTCCTTCTGACCTAATAAGAATGTTAACGTTTGGATGTACACCGTTGCTTGCATATGGTGTGGATGCACCCCAAGGGTTTGTGCCTTGAATGTTGATATCCATTGTAAGACACTGAGAGGCTATAAGCTTTTTATGATTGCAGAGTTGCAAGGTGGGACCTTGAGGGGGCGCTCAGAGTTAGATAAGTGGGGAGCTGCTATGATAAAATGTTAGCATTCTTATAAGGAAAAGAAGAGGACCTCCTCTCTCCTCTTTTTCTCCTCCCTCCCTCCCCCCTCCCTCTCTCCCTCCATATCTTTCTGGACATGTGATTCCTTGTGTCACCATGGGATTCTGCAGGTAAGGCCATCTATATACAAATGGACTCTTGACCTTCTTCCTCCAAAACCTGAGGCAAAATAAAGTGTTCTCCTTTAAAATTCACTTATCATGTAGCAGTCTGTTATTGACAACAAAATTGGACCAATCTAATATACAGGCAGGTGTTGACACAGACACGTATATTTGTATAGGCTGAAGTATTTACAACAAGCAATCTGGTCAAGCCAAATTTTCATTGTTAAAATTGTTCTTTCTATAAGAGTCTTGATTCATGACTCTCTGAGCAGGATATTTGTCACCTACTCCGTAGAATTCTGAGTGATTCGAGTGAGATGCACACACATGCATGTGCATATGTATGCTCTGTTGTTTCACGAATCACCTTCCATGATGCTTGGAGCTTCTACAAGTACCATGTCTTTTGTTAGTTCAACATCTGTCTCTTATGGCAACTCTAAGTCTATAGTCTTCTCACTTGTTTTACTAATCCCATTTATTGTTTTGCTCTTTACTTGAATGACATTTTGCTGTTTTATTTTTAATTATATTCTATAACACTGTTATGTTTCATTATAATGAATATAGAGATGCCTTCTTGTAAAAATCATTAATTATGGAATCAAAATTTAAAATCCTATATGGAGAAAAAAGCATGGGTCTTGAACTTCTTGACAAATTCTACTTTGCCTTTTAGATGAAGTTTGAGTATTTCCTCCTTTCTGAAACATTTATAGAAATAAGTCGGGTCCAGGTCAACAGAGCACCATCTCTTCATACTCCTCCTCATGTGAACTCATGGAAATGAAAAGACGTATTTCCTTATTTCATACTCTCCCAGTTTTCTTCTCAATAGTATCCCAATACTGTCATTCTGAATTTTCAATGTGCCTGTGCATGTGTGCATGTGTGTGTAAGTGTGTGAGTATGTGTGTATGTATTTGTACATTTTTGAGTGTTTGCATGCCATGGCATAAGCTCAGGTGTTGGTCCTCACTGGGCTTCATGTCAGGCTAACTGGCTTGTGAGCTTCTGGGAGATTCTCCTTTCCCAGCCTCCCATCTTGCAGAAGGGATGAAAGGGTTACAAAGGTATGTTAAAGGATTCAGATTTATATATGATCCTGGATCCTAAACTCTGATCCTCACATTTGCACATCTATTTATCGGTATCCTCACTATTTCCATTATTATTCTGTAGAGACTTGGACTGTCTGAGGTCATCCCTCAAGTACAGAAGTTCTCAATCTGTGGGTCACGACCCCTTTGGGAGACCAGCAACCCTTTCACACAGGTCACCCAAGACCATCGGAAAACAGTTATTTATAATATGATTTATAAAAATAGCAAAATTAAAGTTGTGAAGAACAATAAAAATAATTTTATGGCTGGAGATAATCTCAGCAAGAGGAACAGTTTCAGCATTTGGAAGTTTGAGAACTAGTGCTTTAGTATCTGGGTTACTTGCCAAGTGGAAAAAGGTGTTAACTTTTCATACAAAGTCACAGGGATGAGAAGAAGGCAGTGCTCCTTTTCGGCACCTCTGTGGGCCCTTATTGTGTCTGGAAACTATTCTACATTAAGAAGGGCAAGAGGAGTAAGGTCAGGATAGATGAACAAGAACAGATTTTGCACAAGCATCAATTATGTGCAAAGGAAAGTTCTGTGTCTATTTTCTCATTCCAAAGTGTTAGGGAATCAGGTCTTTTTTTTTTTCTTCAAAAGTTTAGTAACTAGGTTTTTAAAAGAGTAAACCTTAAGGAAAATGCACTCAAGAAAATTTTTTCTATGGAAAATGAGAGATGGCTAAGAACAGAGCCATTAAACACTGCATCATATCCCTGTATGGGCAATGAGCTCCACTGGGAATTTAGGCTACATGCTTGCTTTTCTATGAGATGACTGGCAGGCTGGGAGCCATGCCTGGGTTGTTTGGCTTTGTGTTTGCTGTTTGCTTTTCATCCTTGATTGCACGGAGGAGGGCATGTTGCATGGTATCAGTGCTGTTTCCCATTGTTTATCTCTGTGAAAATTCATTTTTATGAGGTACTGCATATCAGGTTGGATAATGACCTTCTGGTTTCCCTGTGCTCCAGGGTGCCACCTTTCCCTGTCTCTGCTGCATATACACTCTGTCTCCTGTTGCCACCACCTAATGGTCTCTTTTCTAAATGATTCCCATTACTATTCTCTATTCTTATTGCTCTGGAGGCTTCCCTGTGATCTGCCAGCCCCATCTTTGTCCACCCTAGTAACCAGAGGTATATTACATACATTCTCCTTTGGAAAAAAAAACATTGCCAGAGCTTACTGCTAAGTAGAGGCAAGTGGGGTGAGGAAGAGCACTTTCAGGAACAAGGAAGCATATCTGGAGCTCAGATGTCTGAAACATGGTGTGTCATGTAAATAGCCATGAAGTGATCTTGTGTGGACACACTTCCAAAGTGTCCATTCTGCTGTGCTACTGGCAGTACTTGTAATTTCTTAGTGATTAATACAATGCACATTTTGTAACAAAGTGTTAATAGGCTTGGCCATGAATTAGTTACAGTCATGGGTAGTTAAGAACTGGGCATTGAATCTTCTTCTATTCTATTCACTTAACAATGGTACCATAAGTGAGTTCTGTATTATCTAGTGTTATAGAAGAGAAGGTTGGGCGTTGAGGATCTTAACGGACTCATCATATAAAACTAGTGGTGAGGCTTGTAGAACTGGGATTCAAATCAAGTCTATTTAGTTCAGCAAGATAAGGCTAGATGCTTAGAATTGGCCAAACAGCCAGTCTGAACAGTAAATGATACCCCACTCTTGTCCCTCCATCACTGTGGCCTTCATGTTCTTCTCTCTGCATCCTCTTTCCTGTTTGTCTCCTCTTGGACTCTCATTCCTTTGAAATTTCTGAAGCCCTAGCTTTCACTTATTCTCCTAACTCCAGGAATGACTTCTCTCTGATCACCTATATACACTGAAGGCTTCATGTTATCCACAGCCTGATTGTTTCTTCTACCTACAGTGACACGTACACTGGAGCTCCTGTGTGTTTGACCTACAGAGCTTCCACATTTCAGTTACTAGTTGAATAAATCATCTATGCTACATGACCCTCAGCCTTGTACCACCCTGACACATACAACTCAGGAAGGACAGAAAATCCCATCCAGTGTTCCTAGCACCCCTTCATCCCTACCTTGCACAGTAAGACAAGAAACTGGTTCCTTTTTTCTATTAAAACAGATTATGTCTGATTGCATTTAAACCCCAAATGGCCTGTCACTTTCAAGATGATGGCAGAGGCACTTGTAGATCTTCATTTGTTGAGCAGATACACCAAGTCTCCAAGACCACACAAAGCAACTACTATTCCTATCTTCACTGTGCAGAAGAGATAGTGGATATTTCGAGAGGTCAATCATGTCTCCAGAATTCTAGATCCAGGGAATGGTGCAGCAGAGAATCAGGCCCAGAGAGTGGGTCCAGAGCCCTTGCAGGCCGACTTACCACTTTGTCTCATTTGACCCCACTCAAGACACTCAAGACTTTCTGAGGTATGCACATTTTTTGAGAGTCTCTTGGGCTTCTTGACCAACATAATTGGCACATTGGATCATGGGAGAGAGGTTATAGCCACCCACCTAAGAATAATATATAAGAATATAATTAATGCTTACATTAAGAGTAAGAAATATCTGCCCCTAGAGGCTTTGCAGGTGTGGCTGCTGTGGCACATGTGCATCAGTAGGTGGCAGAGAGGAGAGAGCCTATGTTCACACTCAGTGTTCTGACCTATGAACATCTGAAAGACTAGTAGCATAACAGTTCCTGAAAAACGTTAGCCTGAGACCACTAACCATCCAGCTCCAGGAGACCTGGACAGGGAGCTAGCCTGAGACCACCACCAGTCTGGCACCAGGCAGGCCAGGCAGGAATCTCAGGACAGGAAGCAGGCTGGAGACTAGAAGGACCTGCTTGGGACCACAAGCCCTGGGTGAGAGTGAGCCAGAGATAGGTGACCCTCTCAAGGGACCACTGGGGCAAGCTGTGTGAGGAATAAACCCAGGACAACCACCAGACTGGTACCAGGGTGCCTGGACAGAAAGCTAGCCTGAGATCACAACTAGTCCACATAGGAAGACTGGGAGCAGTTCAGACCATGCTTGAGATGACCCTTACCAGATGTCACAATGCACAAACAGGGTATAGCACTCCTGAGACCACTTCTGAGACAACCCCAGACACAGACACCCTGGGAGCCACTAAGAGGAGTAAGAGAAAGTAAGTGGTAGAGAATTGAAAGAGAATAAGAAACAGAAGGATATGAACACAAAGGAGAGAGACAGAACCGGACACTCAAGGGTAATGAGGAAAAGGGAGTTGTGCGTAGCTGGCGATGCCACCAAGGAACATGGGATAGTCCTGGTCTGCCACCAGGGGTCATGTCTGGGTCCATGGCCCTGCAGCAGCAGGGTCTGATACCATCAAAGCCCAGGCAGATGTTGATGTGTGAGGGTTGTGTGGAACTGGTCTTACCTGCTACCTAGGCATCATGGGATAGCCCTAGAGGCTTGGGAGCAGGAGAGCTGACCCTGCCCTTTTACCTCCAAGCTGCAGTATTGGGGTAAGTGGCCAACACACATTGAGTGAGTTGTGGGTGAGCCAGCCTGAGGATTTGAGCATGAGAAAGCTGGACCTACTACCCATCTTCCTGCAGTGGCATGGACATCAGAAAGATACTCTCCTTCCCCCTCACTCCTTACCACTTACAGCAAGTGGAAGACCTGGCCCTGGGGTCATTAGAGCAGGAGAGCTATCCTTGTCTTTCTCTAGCTGCAGCCCTTTGGAGAGCAGCTTCTGCACCTCTCCTGGGCAGCACTGTAGAATTGGGCCTGGATGTGGGGGTTTCAGGTGAATCATCCCCAAGGACATAAGTGTGGGACAGCTGGCCCTGCCTCTTGTCTGCTGTGCTGTGGCACAGAAGAGGGAGAGACATTCTCCTCCCCTTCCTTGTCCCTCACCACCTATGGCAGACTGCAGAGTTAGCCCCAGGGTCATGAGAGTGATAGAATTGGCCACATGCCTCACCAGCTGCAACACTTGGTTGAACAGACCCTGTAACTAACCTGGGCAGCAAAGTAGAGCTGGCACTGGTTACAGGGATTTTGAGGAAGCTAGTCTTGAGGGCATGAGAGTGGTAGAGCTGGTGGTCTGACTATCTCAGACACCTCTCAGACCCAGATCCAGAGCTTTGAATTGGCCCATCACAACATCCACCCCATCAATGAACTGCTGGAGTGCATGAAGGGGCTAGTCCTACAGATCCATTACTATAGGACCTCCATGACACAGGGCAACAATAGGGTAACCAAAAGGAGTTCCAATGATGTTCATATTGATAGAATAACAGAAGGCAGAGGCCTTGTATCAGATCAGTGAGTCATTGGAATGAACATTTGTAAGCAAAGAAGTGGACAAAGGGTATACTGTGGGAAATACTGTGACACATTGCAGCTTCCATAATGAGGTTTTTTTTTCCTTTGTTGGGGAGGAAGTTGCAAGGGTGGAGGATGGGTGTGAGGGGAGGGAAAGATGAGTGAGATTAGGTCTATGATGTGAAATTCACAATAAAAACAATAAAAAGTTAAAAAACATAAATAAAGCCCAGGTAGTGTAGGTATTTATTATCGTCTTTATTATACTTATTGGTTATATACCAATATGCTAGCATTTTCTTAGAGCTTGGGGGAATTTTGTTAAGCAAATGACCGAAATTGTCCAGATTCTACAACTTGAGAATCAAAAAGAAAACTGCATCAAAATTATGCATTGCCTTGGACAGAAATTTCTTTCAGGGACTCAATCAACCACAAATACTCATCTCCTTCATGTGCTGAGTGTTTTTCTACTCAAAGTGCAGAATAATATGATCATGGGGTGATTCTAGCTGCAATAAGTCTTACAGGAAACAAAGGCCCAAGCCATTACAGATGTGACTACACCAATAGGACTCACATCTGAACTGAGTTAATTATACCAGAATTGCTCATTCCCACCATTCCTCTGTTTTTTCAAGCAACTCAGTGACTTTGTAGGGCTGTTGGTATAGTCATCAGTTGTTTGGTTGGGCATTAGTAAACACTGCTGAGTTTCAGTTCTCAACAGAAGAGAAGTCAGTAAATGAAGGCAGCTCTCGCAGGGAGATTTTTTTAGAGCAGAAATGATAATGGGATAGGAGTTTAGTCAAAATATTTGGTTGGCTTGCAAACATCAAAGCCATAAAGTTTGAACGCCTGAGAACATTGGCATATGATGTGTTTAATTTTATTTCTATTACTGATAGGTGAAACATAGTTTTTTAAAAATGTAGATTGAACTGGTTGAGACTGGAAACATTGCAGAACTTAGATTTTTATTTTTGTTTCTGGAATCTTTCAAATTCATCATGAAATATTTTGGTGATGGGATCCAAGTTTAAGCTTGACATTTACTTCTGTTTTATGTGTGAGTGTACATGTATCCTAAATGTAATTTCACACAATATTGTTTAGTACTTTTATGACTGAAAGAAGGCTTGTGTGTGTGAACTGAAACACACTCATGTGTGTGCACTGAGCCACCTTTAAGCAAGGGAAATAGAAGGTCCACACATCATCAGAATTTCCACTTACATCCTTATATTGTCACTTAAAGGGTTTAGAGCTTAATTTTTTTCTCATTGTTATTAGTTCTTTGAGAATTTCATATAGTATATTTTAATCATATCTGCTCTCCTCTCAGGTCAGCTCTCCCTTCTTAACTGACCAAACTTTGTGTCCTCTTAAAGTAAAACAGAGAAAGCAAACAAACTAAAATACAATTGTGCTGCCCATTTACTCTTGGGTATGTTGAGCTTGATCAACCTACTCAGGGCCACAATCTTAAGAAGATAGATGCTCCCTTTCCCAGCAGCCATCAGTGTCCAGTAGCTCCTCAGTTAGGGGTGGGACTTCATGCCTTATTCCCAACCATGTTTTTAAAGTTAGGGTTTCACTGTGTAGCCTGTTCTGTTCTGGAACTCACTCTGTGTACCAGGCTGGCCAAAAAAACCCACAGAAATATGCCTGCCTCTGCCTCCCACATAATGGGATTAAAAGTGTATGGCACCACCGCCCACCCAGCTACCTACCTTCCTCGTGGTACTGGGAATTTTCTGGCTTGAGCATGCACAGGTCTTATACTTGGTGTCCCAAATGCTATGAATTTATTTGCACAACTGTCTTTCTTTGTATAGAAAACATTATTTCCTTGTGTTCATTCACTGTCTCTGATTTTTAGAATCTTTCTGTCAGCATGTTCCACATGATCCCTGAGCCTTGAGAGGAGGGGATATGATATGGATTTGCATTTTGGAGCTGATCATTCCAAGTTCTCATTTCCTGCATTTTTACTACATGGCCATGTAATGCAAAAAGGACCTTTTCTGATGAGGAATGAGAGATGAGCTAATCTATGGGTATAAGAAAAACTCATTATGAGTTGGTTTAATATATTGTCTGTTTAGCCTAGTAATAGAAGTACCCTCTTCCCTTGAGCCTGTGGCCTGTCTAGCCATAGGTCCTTGACCCCAGTAATGGTTCCATGGATGCCTATCAATTTTTGGAGCAAGATCTAAATCCAATCAGAAAGAGGTTGGTTATTCCCATGACATTCATTTCACTAAGGCACTAGTAGGCATGTCTTTGCAGGATGGTCACTATTGTAGCCCATATCGTTTATAGCTTGGTAAGACTAAAGACTACTTTCCTCCTCTGGAAGCTAACATAGCTCTAACACTATGAAATGAAAGAAGCTTCCGAAGAGTACCAGCTTGATTTCCCCATGTTATGGTTTAAGTACATGGTGTCTTCTACCACAGTGGCTTAGCATCAAGTTCAGTATGGTAACCAAGATCATTGACAGTATCCTGTAATTTGGGGTACCAATGAGACCTCACAGGCCAACAACTCCAGGAGGTAGCTCACTACTAGTTCTGGGCTTTTTGTTTGTTAGACCCTACTAGATACCACAGATCAATGGATTTAGTGGTTTTATTGAGCAGTCTGGCAGAAATTTTGTTTTTCTTCTGCTGAGGCAGGCATTTCAGGACAGCCTGTAATCATAGTGAGAACTTGTCTCCAAAACATGATTTCTTCTGAGTGTTAAGGGAGTTCAGAGTTCAGATCTTTTGGAGGAGATGACAAACCTATACACAGCTATATGAATTTAAACACATACAAAGATTCATGTGAACACTGCCATATGAACTGAGAAATTCTGTGAGGCTGACTCCTCCCTAAATTACCTACAGTTTGTGCTCTGTTCTTATGGTACACCTTCCCAATAGCCGTTGACAAATACCATTTTCTATTCTTCTGTTTGTCTATTCTTCTGTGAATGTCACGTAAGTGGGTTTTTACAGCTTGCAACCTTTTGAGGTTGGTTCCTGTACTCAACATTTCTCTAAGATTTACCCAAGTCTCTTCTATGAGCTGTCTTCTGGAAGAGATTTACTGAAGTTCTTTCTGCTAGTATCCCAGAATGTGCCTTTATGTGAAAAGAGGGTCCCTGTAGCTGTAATCATCCAGGCTCACACGAGAGAAGAGAAGGAAGCCTTCATGTCTAACATCTTCATAAAGAAAGAGTCACAGAGAAGAATGCTGTGTGAAGACAAAGACCACAGGGGGAGCAGAGGCTGCCTGAAGATGGAGGCAGTGATTGAGATGCTGTTACCGCAAGCCAAGAACTCTTGGTCCACCGGTGCCAGGAAGAAACAGAGAGAGATTCCAGCCCAGCACACCACAGGGA